TGTAGTTAACTGGGGAATCGCACAAGAAATGTACACTGGCCACCCACATGTAGTAAAGCGCCAATTAATAGTCATGTATTAACTGGGATCATGCAATAAATGTAGACCAGCCACCCTTGTGTAGTAAGACCGGATCACACAATACACGTACACTGGCGACCCATGTGTAGTCGCATCAACCACAAGTGCCAAGTGATGGTTATGTGATTAACTGGGGAATCATGCAATAAATGTACACTGGCCATCCATACATAGTAAGACTGACCACAAGTGTGAAGTAATGATCGTGCAATTAACGGGTGAATCTTGCGATAAATTTGGACTGGCCACCCCTGCACGGTAAAACCGGCCACAAGTATCAAGTAAAGATTATGCGATTAACTGGAGAATCATGCAGTAGATGTACACGGGCCACCTGCATGTAGTAAGATCAGCCACAAATGCCAGGTAATCATCACACAATTACCAGTGGATCGTGCAATGAATTTAAACTGGCCCCATGTGCAAAATCATTATTGTGAGATAAATGTGACAGTTCAGCTTTAAAAAGAGCCAACCAGCTATAAAGTTAGTGCTTGAAACTAACAACTGTAGATCTGGTGTCTAGCCAGCCTTCATGTGAGCATGTTGCCAGGCCCTTAGCATTGGTCATGTTTTATGTACTTTCACATAGTAGTTGGATAACGAAGAGGCTGCTTATTGGGTCCAGTTTATGCTCTTTTGAAAGATTCATAAGGATGTTTTCAGGCACAAGTAGCTAGCACAAGCTTCCCAGAACTTTGATTGTTGTGAAGTGATGAGGTGCCTGGTTATACAATTAAAAATGCTGTGGTTTTTCTGTCCTGGGTGTGTGCCTCCATAGTCAGTTTTCTGCAGATTAGACCTAAGTGGTTTTAGTGTAAAGGGCTTATTTGGTAGAGTAACCAGTTTTGGTTTATTTTCAATATGGTACCCAGCACAGGTACTGGAAGAAATGGTGCATGGAGTTGCATTTATTCATTATAATTGGGCTTACATTTGTTTTCCACTGTTAAATAGTGGGTGTTTGGTATTTCCACGAGTAGGCTGAAGGGTCCTTGGAACAATACATTTGAATTGCTCGCTTCTACTTATTTGAAGATCAGTTATTTTAGTGGCTGTTTTATTTTTGTGATCAAGAGAGACTGGGCACACTCCCTTCTCTCCATGAAATAGCTCAGATGCTTTGATAGCAAATGAAGTACACTTTGTCATCACTCTGTCTGTTATTTTCCCTTTGTACAGTGCTTCCACAGTGTTATCTATTTAGTTCATTCCCATCTCCAGCCAGCCCAAGAACAGGGTCCTGGTATAGTAATATGTGCAAAAATAGATTGCCATGCTAGTGACAGCTGTTAGCAACTTCTTGTCAGATTTAATGCTCCATAGCATTTCACTTGCACAGATGTTCATGTAGCAACTATAATAGCTTTTTTAATAGGTAAGGTTGGGGAAAGGGAACTTTAATTTTTAAGTTATTGAATGCAAATCTATGCTGGAGTTATTGCACATGTGACTGCAGTGCAAGGTTTTGTAAATGTCATAACTATGGGGTAAAATTAAACTTTAACTCTGCCATTTCTGTATATTATTTAAATGGTCTTTATACATCTGAACAACCAAACATACTAGATCTTCAAAGTAAAATCCATGGATCTTGGATCCAAAGTTCAGGTGTCTCTTCAAGCTTGCTTTAGATGCTTGTTTAACTAAGTGTGAAACTGGGGTCCAGCATATTAAGAATCCTTCACTTGCTCGTGTCTGTAGTAAAAATTAATTCACTATTTTGCTGGGAGTGGGGTTCATTCATTCACATCATAAGCAAGGTCTCCCAAGTGATAGCAGATCAAATGTGTTCAGAAGTCTCTACTGTAATCACTCTGTTGCAAGGCAAAAATCCCAAGATCGGCAGTGGCTGCCAGAGGCCAGTTTACAAATGTAATTTGTGGAGAGAGTAAACTCTTTGAAATGTGGTATGCTGTTTATGTCCCTATAACCACCACAAATTGAGAGTAATATTATTGTCAGACATTTGTTAGTGTTGAGTTTTCTTTCCTATATGTAGCAAAGACGAGTACACCTTGCATGTATATCTAGAACTCTTGTTCAGACTCAGATGTTAGATGTCAGGGTCTGGTGCTCAGTTTTTATTCCTGACTTGCTGGATGTCAGGGTAGATCATTTCTAATACAGCTTCCTTCTGAGATTTTTTTCTTAATCTCTGCTCATTAGACTGTGAAGTAACTTCTGGTATAAATTGCAATATCTGACTAGTGGTCATCTCAAGATTTCCTAAAAAGCTTAAGTGAAAATAGTTGTAATACTTTCTTGGTGCCTTATAGTGATTGTACTTTATTTTCCAGCTCCATGAACAAGTTGCCACAAGAGTTATTACGAGCAGAAGTGATGTTGTGGCAAGCGTAGCTGCTGCTTACAGAATACTTTTCTCTAAGCCTCCAAAAGGTAACTGTAACTTGGCAATGATGATTGAAAAGCTACTTATTGAATTCTATAGTGAGGACCCCATGTTTCATTTGGACCTATTACCCCAAAGATAACCTGTTTCTCAAGTAACTGGCTGCTGTTCTCAAGATATCACTGCATCCTGGGATGTGCACACTGTAGACCCTATGAAAGATGAGTGGCCAGTTTGCTCTGTTTTTTTGTGCAGTTAAGACATGATGTTCAGGTTTCTGGCACAGTCCAATAGATCTTAATTTAACAAAATTTGGCTGTCTTTGGTTTATTGCTTCCCTTCTGTGTTACAAGTTAGGATCTTGACTCTAGTCTTCCTTTCACATTAGCCTCTCCAGTACTTGGGGGGGGGGGTTAGAATTGAAAAACTGTTGGTATGCAAAAGATATTATGGGTAGCTAGATTTGATTTTTGTGTAGCATTTTTTCTAGGTGACTTCCAAAATTTTACTAAACACTCTTTCCATCTTTGGCTTGACATGCAATTTTTCTCTCGCTTTAATAAAGGAATTTAAAACGATAACAACAAAATCTTCATTTAGAATAAATATCTTTAGTCTAATGAGCCAGATTATTCTCTCTGAATATTGTAGAATACTTCAGGCCTTGTGTAAAGAACAATCAAGAGGGACAGGCTGGAGTGGTGGAGGGCGATATAGGAATGCAGGTAAAAGAGGAGAGGTACCTGGGAAGTCAGATGTCCATCAGG